CGGGTGGGTTGTCCTGAGTGTCCTGTGAAGGCTTTCCTGGGGTGAGCTGAGGGCCTTGGCTGCGTTCTGTGCCGACCCTGGGGCTGTTGTCACTGTTGCCTCCCCAGGGCGAGCTCCTGGGGGAAGGAGTGATGCCGCAGGTGCCCAGCCGGCAGCCGTCCCTCCACCTGGTGGTCACTGTGGACTGGCCTGCCTACCTCCTGCAGGCCTGGACTCTCCACTCTGTCCCTGCGAAGACTGCCGCGAGCCACCTGCCTGGGTGCTGGCCGCTGCAGGCTGGTGTGGAGGAAGGCCCACGCGCGTCACCGGGTCTGTGGCCGCCTGTTCTGCTGCTTTCAGGAAGGGGGGTAATGGCGGGGCTCGGGGTAAAGTGGAGAGTGGCCTGTCACTGTGGCTCCTACTTGTCAGCACGGATTGAAACGCTCCTGGGTGACTTAAAGATCTAAGGACTCAGGCCCCTTGGGGACAGTGGGCCGGCCAGGCATGCCTGTGGGGGGACAGACCCGGTGGGCCGCGGCCCGCCTGTGTTCATGGGAGAGCGAGTGGGTAGCAGCGGCGGTTCGGGCTGCCTGGGGACGGAGGTGTGTAGCATTCCACATCCCTGACAGTCCTTTTAAGTCTGTGCGAACGTTTTCGTTTCAGCTTTGTCCTGTACAAGCGGGGCGGTTCTGTTTCCCTGACTAGAAACAGCCCTGGTGAAGGCAGAGGGTCAGCCGCACTGCTGGAGGGGGACGTCGGAGGATGCCTCAGACGTGTCAGCAAACCTCAGGAAGGTCCTGCACCTGCCGGCTGCCCACTGAGAGCCTCCTGGGGAGGGGTAGTGGCATTAGCTAGCTGGCGGGTCCTCGCAGCAGCCCTGGGCCCCGCGAGGCAGAGGGCGGTGTCTCTAGGAGGAGGCGGGCGGGTCTGATAGAGCCTGCCACCCTGGGGTTGGTGTCCAGGTCGGCCTCCGGTGGACACCTGGTCCCTGGAAGAGACAGGTGTGTGAGGCGGGAAGGCTCACGGCAGCAGAGAGGGGCTTAGTCTGCGACAGGCACAGGTGCTCGGTATGGTGGCGGTCAGTGTGCAGGCGGGATCCCCGCAGCGCCCGCCGGCTACGGGCCAGGCCGCCTCTCCGTTTAAAGTGGGATGGCGTGCTCTTGACTCAGGAAGTCAGTGCTGTGGGTGGTCCCTTCGGTTCAGCTGTCCTGAGACTGCATGGCTGCCTCCAGGGTGGAGGTGAGCTGGCTGTGGCGCCCCTGGAACCCGGAGCTCCACTCTCCCCCTCTACCCGTGTCCTCCCCCTCGCTGCTCTGCTTGGATTTGCAGGAGGTGCACCCACGGCTGCACTGTGCCGACTTGCCGGACCTGTGGTGACAGCAGCGCCTGGGAGGGGCCCAGGGCCATGCCCCATTTGTGCCTTCCTGGCACTCAGCCGAGCTCAGAGGCTCGGGAGACCTCGCCTGGTGTAGTTCCTCAGAGACTCGGGGTACACTTACTGACGCTGTCCTTCCGCTTGGGCGGGAGCCAGTTCAGGCTGCTCCCTGAGGCGCCTTCACACGCGTGACCAAGGCGTGGTTGCCCTCAGGGAGGGCTTCTGTGGGAGACAGGTGGGGACACGGCTGGGTCCGGGTCACCTGTACTTGGAACCAGACGGGGTCTTTGAGCGAGAGAGACCCAGCAGGTGTGTGTGCACGCGTGCACGTGTGTGTGTGCGGAGGCCGTTTCCTGGCCCCGGGATAGTGGTGGGTGGTTGGTTCTGCCATAGTGGGGTTTCAGTGTCCCCATCGCTACCATGCAGTCAGGTTCCGACCCACGCTCAGGCACACAGAGGAGTGGGGAGTTTTGGAGGGAATGACGCTGGTGAAATGGGCCCCTCTGTGGCCCGCCACGAGCCCCCCAGGCCGGGGTGTAGACTGCGTCCTAACTTGTACACGGTCTTTCTAGATCCCGAGTGCGGCCGTCCCTGTCCCGTAGTCATGTTCTGAACGCCGTGCGTCACGGCAGGCTGCCGCAGGGGCCCGTGTGCTCTGGGGCCGAGGTCGCGGCCGGGCGTGTAACACGGCAGC